ATTAGATGGTAATCTAGGCATCTGTTATTTGACATTTCTGACTTTGTATTTAGGTCAGTTGGAGGCATAAGGGTATCCATGTACAATGCTGTAAAACTTGATGATGTAAAAACACTTGTGGACTTCATGACCGACTTCAGACAACGATATGAAAAGCAATAATACTTTAAATCAAGTTTTCAACCTTACCCAGTGATGCGTCACTAAATACTACAAGCAGCTCTGAAGACTTGCGAACTCTGAAACTATAATGAATCTTAAAGTATTGGGAAGTATACACAAATTTATTCTGAACCTGAAATCTAAGACCTTTTGAAAATTTGTGGTGTTGACCCACTGGTTACATCTTGAAATGGGAACTCGCTGTTGGGTTTGATTCAATGGCTGATTTCTCAAGCAGACTGGTTTGACCTCAAGTAGGCCAAAACGTGTAAAACTGCTCTTGAAGTGTGGCAATGCCTCATTGATTCTTTCACATTGCTAGAAGAGTTTCCATGACTCCATGTTGTTTGGAAAATACAGACTTTTGTCCTCGATAAGACTGTCTCAAGGAGGTGTAATTTTGGCTATGCCTGAAGTTGAAATAACATAACGTTCTCAGTGGAAAGAAAGCGAGTATTTCTGGATAATTCTGATGGAATGTGACATTATTTTTACATAAAAGTAATTTAATGACTTGGCCCACATGCATGGATGCAGTTGAATATGCAAGAACTGTTACAGTAGGGAGTGAATTGAATAAAGGTTTGAAGGGGAGGGTTTAAAAGGGTTGTTGTCTGGTTATTTGTTTCTATTTTGATCCTCTCCTGCAAGTAACATGAGAACTTAAATAAACTCCCTCCCTATCAGCTTTAGGAGAACCCAGTTCCTTACACCCTCTCGAATGACTGAAACACTCTATCCACCGGGGGGAATGGTTATCGATTTGATATTTGATAAAAACCGAAACTCGATCTGCACCACTCTTCATGGAACGCCCCGGGACATAATCCACCAGATGATGTAAGCTTGCGCACTGACTTTTCTCAGTTTTGCACTTAAAGGTGTCAGATTGCTATGGTAATCGACAAGAAGCAGAGCGCGTGGTAGTAATAGCAAACAACCGCAAGGTGTTTCGGTCTCGTACTATAGGAAAATTCATTGCTTGACGAAGGAACTCCGCATTAAATTGCGCGCGAAAACCGATCGTTTCCTTTGAATTTCGGTTAGGCCCTCATTAATCCTTTCACTCGTAAGATCTTATTTGTAATTCTCCTTACTGTCTGCATTTCTTATGAAATTGGCTCTAGATCAACTAATAATCCCCTAACTGATATTTTTCTTCGTTCTCATTACACTCATTACATTGTCTTGTTTGATGTTGTATTAATATTATAAGGAGAAACTCTGTCTTGGGTTTCACTCTGGAAGGTAAAGGGTTAATATTATTTCAAGGCTGTGGGCGTGCGTTACACCGCGCGTGGGAAGATTAGAGTCGAGTGGGGGAAAGGTTTATCGGGGGTCTGGTTATCAGTGCCAGACCTCTCTCCGCCTTGCGACTTGCAAGACCTTTAGCCTGAAAAACGGGCCTAACTTTTTGCGTTTTGCAGGTGAACGGAGGCAAGCGCTAGGCGTAACACGTAGTTAGCACCGTTCGCCTCCGTTCGACATAAAAACGCAAAAAAATGCGCCGGTTCTGCAGGTTACGGGACCTTGGCTCGTGCCAAAGCGCTCATGCGCATGAGCGCTTTGGCACGAGCTCAAGCTCATGAGCGCTCACAACGTTCAAATCCAAACACAATAAGTTCCCCCATGTGGTTTTAATAACATTCCTCTTTAGCTTTTTGACATTGAGCCTCCTTGTTAAGTTCTCTATGCTAAATCAAAGGTTATTGTTATCTTCAGAATACACACCAGAATACGTATGATGCATGATCCTCGCAGTAGAGAGCGCTATTTATGCAATAGCGAAAATCAGACCTGAAAAAAATCAGGCCTGTACGGGATTCGAACCACTGACCTCTGCGATACTAGTGCAGCGCTCTACCAATTGAGCTAACAAGCCAACTGGGAGCAGGCCGTTAAGTTGATTCGTAATAAACCCGTGGAAGTGATAAATGAGATACAATGAAAAATATATGAAGTTCATATATTTTGAACTACGCTCTACCAATTGTTAGCTCAATTGGTAGAGCGTAGTCAGTAGATCGTAGTCTTTAAAACTACATCATCGCAAGTTCTATCATTTATTTTTCATTTCGCCTTCTTTTGACAAGCATCGCGTGCTCTGGGGATAAGAATGGGTATGCGTGCTCGTGATGTTTTTAAATCTACCATCTCCGTTCCTCAGTAGGCTGCAGAATACCCATCATATGCGAACCTTCTCTTGGTCTATGAATAAAAGGGGGGGGGGGTAAGTTTCTACAGAAACTGTAGTACTGTGTCGGTGGAGGTATTACAAGACACAACTAGTTTGGTTTTATCACCTAAGTTGACGGTATGTGTAAATTGGCCACCTTAACTGAGCTTGTAAAGCTAAAGTTTCCAGCGTAAGCCCTTCAGTCTTTGCTCGAGACGCTGGCTTTAGAGACGCTGCTCTTTACGGTGGCTAATTTACATTGTAAACTCAATTGATGAAATGCCCGAGACCGCTAAAACACATTCATATTGAAGAATCGCCAAGGTCTCTGATGTATCATTTTCTTCAAAGTCTTCGTTCTTATCACGCGGTCGGAGCTGTCACCCGCAAACGGGTGGCGTTGGGGACGAGAATGCGTGCCAGTTTCGATGCTCTCTCGAGCCCGGATGTACATTTTTGGGTTGCTATACAACCCCCAAATCTTCAAAGAGGCAATTCACTTGATTGTCGTGAAGGACACTTGTTTACATCGCTTATACGAGGAAGCGGCAAATATCTCTGGTTTGGAGTGGCGCTCCGACTGGTTCGAGTTTTAGTTTTGGTTTGTCGATGTGACTTCTACGACGGTCAGCTTTTTGTCAGTTATGTCGTGAACACACATAACCTACGTTTACTCTTTGCATTCTATTATAAACTGCTAAGTGAGCCGAGGATAAGATTAATCATACGCCTTTCCAGTGCTTTGTGTTAAGATTGAATATAAGATTTAATCCAATAAGCACAATTTTGGATATGAAAAAAGAATCAAAGTGGTGCCTCAACATTAAGGAAAGACGTTTACACCTCTAGAAAGAGTTTTATTAGTTCTCCACAATTCAACAAAGTGTCCTTTGCTTAAAACATCGAGAACATAAAGCGACCACTCTTTCAAAGAGTTTATTTTCTATCGATTTGAGGTCGATAACTTTACAATAGATTTGCGCCCAACGTGACAAACTTTAACCCCATTCCAAAGTATTGTTTTCGTCGGAATAACACCCCGCCCTAGAGCCACTTAATCAATAAGTCAATTTTCAAACGTTTTGTGTAATGCTTTCTGTTGTTGACCAATATTAACTTAGTTCACCTGCACAACAGATAAACCAATGGCAAGTACAGGTGCTATGAACTAACAGATAAACCAATGGCAAGTACAGGTTCTACGAACTAACAAGTGCTTTTGCGCTTTTCACCTTTCACTGACTTCCCTAAATTCTTTGTAACGCAACATCATTTTCCTGGACTCCCGCTGAGACCTAACAAGATACTGCAACAAAAGGAAACGTCACTCTTTTCTCGTTAAACCTATTTATAATTATTTTTCATTAGGATCAAAAAGAAGGCAACATTTACTTCTGATTACTCAAATATTATTTACGCAAGAAAACGTATCGAAAACTTTGACCAAGTACAACACATAGATCACTTTTTGATGCTCAAGATGAATAAAAACGTAGCTTGTTTTGTGTCAGCTCTCTATCCATGTTTTTGCCCTCAGATCAGGGAAGGTTAAGAAAGCGTTTCGATCTTGCGAAACTTTCCGCAAAGATGGTGCTACGGTATGCAGATTATCGCGCTTTACCGAAGGTCTGCTGTACTCGCTGCTGTCTTTTCTTTGCGGATATCGGTATAGGCAGGCAGGCTTTTGATTTGTGTCGGTAACTACCTCAACTTGGAGACGGCTATCAGCTGCAAGTGCTGCGCCGTCTTCGATAGGGCTCTTTCGTCCTCTCATTTCCACTATTTCCCGCAGCCCTCCATTTCTATTATGCGAGGTTCTTGTTCTCACAGATTCACTTCCGCACGGAACAATATTCAAGCTCTGAGCTCTAACTCTTCCAAACATGCTGCTCGCAGATTCATCTTGGTTCACTCTCGATGTGAAAACCTTAGCTGCTGCATTTACCTTGCCTTGCTCACCTTTGGAAACAAAATTAAGGCTCTGTGTCCTGCCTCTCGTCGGGAGATTAGCCTCCAAGTTCCCATTCACATTGTATCCGCTGAAATATGAGTTTTTAATTAGCCGATTTCTGTTGTCGCTATTAAGAGTAAGATTATTTAAGGCATACTTTGTTAACAGTCTTTGTTTTTCTTCTGCTTTGTCCACTCTCATTACAGCTGGAGCTGCTGTATTGGAAATCTTTCGGTGAAATATTAGATCTCTTCCGAGTGGAGTTTCTCCCAGAACGCTCGCTTTTGGCTTGGTGTTCGATATCTTTCGCTGTCTCCCAGCTGTGGATTTTGAAACTACTGAATGTTTCTCGTTCAAGTCATCGGTTTTCACCCAACGAGCCCAAGGTGATCCGTTTGAAGATACCTTTCTTCTAGGGGACGCTGATTTTCCACTTCCATCCTCCACTCCCTCCTCCATTGCTGTTACGTGAACCATTGGAAGATGCGATGGAATAAACAGCGCCGAGCTTTTCTTCTTTGGGACATATGGCGATGCGGAACTCTTTTTGTAAGAAGAAATTTTTCTCGATGCATGGTCCTGCGTCTTTCCGCTTAGTGCCGCCATAAAATGTGGCGAACTCGTCGCCGCGAACGTCGAAGGGACAATTGGCAACGTTTTCACGCCAGTTGCTCCAGAATACTTTCGCATTTTCTTCATTTTGTTGTTCGGGTAAATTCTTTAACGAATGCCAAACTAAGTTCTTGAAATTGTTCTTTCACTCCAACAACACTTTGACCAATTCAAGTTAGGTACTTAACAACGTGCGCAGCTGGAAGAGCCACTTCACGTCAGATTCTTTCGACGGTCGGTCTGACTAGAGGATGATATCTGTACAATTTCAAGCTGCAAATAAAGTTGCACAAGTAGACATAAGTTGATTAACGATTAAGCTCGGGTCACTACGTATACTTTTGTTTCTCTGGAAACCGAACAGTACAATGAAAAATCTCCTGAGAATTGCTTAGTCTTCATTTGATATTTACATCGACTAGGCGTGAACGCGAAAAGTCTTTAGATTTTAAATGCTATTTCTTGCACGTAATCTTACAAAGCCGCAAATCACAACGATTTTTCTAAGTGCTCCCAATGAATTTGCATCCAGCAACAACATTTTTGGCAGTTTTAATTTGTTGAAGGTGAAAAGAGCTTTAAGTTCTTCCGAATCAAAACAGTTGGCGTTTTGACACCTATTTTACTCGAAGTCCTTCCATTGTTTTCGGTCGCTTTTAAACTGTTGTTTCACTATAGACGCGAACAAACGCTTTCACAAAGGAATAAAATTGAATGTTAGTGGACTCAATCGCAGATGAGATATTACCGTGCGAATAGAATTTAAAGCTTGATTGTTTAGCCCTCAGTTTCTAAAGATACCTATAGTTTTTACACTTGATGAGTTTCTTCTTGGAAAAATGGCGTTGAGAGTCAAATGATACAGCCAAGCAAAACAAATATTCTGTATTAATCTTCCGTATTCAAAATGCTTTGAGAGTTTTCTCTCTTCAATCGCAAATCCAATTTTCTGAGTCATTGTTCTACAAATCTTTCACAAAACGAGGTAGTAAGAAGTTGCCGTTAAATAGAAAATCAACGAACTGTACGACGGAACGATTTTGGTCGAATAATTTAACTCATTTCAAACTCGTTAACCTTTTAAATGGAGGCATTCAGTTAATACACTCTTAGCATTTGCATATTTCCACAGAAACTGACCTTTACTCGCAATATGAGTAAAATAGGGAAAATATCAAAAACCGTGCTGAAATTATCTTACGCGCCTTTCCCCTGCCCCACGATTGATTAAAATCTAATGGATGTTTGTTTTATACATTGTTTAGAATTCAAAGTATATGAAAATGACATAAAGGGCTAGAAATATACAGATAGGAGCTATAATTATGTTGCTTGACTTTCACTACCGAGAATATAATAGCCAGATTAATTGTGGAAAATTGTCGTAAGTGCTGCTAGAAATTGCTCAGTACACATGAGTATAGAGCGAAATACAATTCAAACTGACTAAAATGAAACGCACATGATTCTCTGTAACTCTGAGTTTCGTGCTTTCGCACTCGTCGAACCGATTAAATCTGTCTGACGAGTGCAAAATCTGTCTGACGAGTGCGAAAGCACGAAACTCAGAGTTACAGAGAATCACTGTGTGCGTTTCATTTTAGTCAGTTTGAATTGTAGCCAGATTATATATAAGTTTCGAAATCAGTAAGTTTCTGTTGCCTCACGACAAATATGCCTTATGAACTATCCTCGAATTTACACTAGAGTATTTATCTCCAAAGTAACAAAAAAGGGGATACATAAATAAATAAAATTAAGAAAATGATGAACTCGGCTCGAGAAAATTTTACAAGAATCAAAATAAGTAACGTTCCTCTGCCGGTAATGAAACCAAGATTGATGCAGCCCGCTGCTGCTTCATCCGAGAAAATTGAGTGTTACTATATTTTTTTCTTTTAAAACAGGTATTACAAATGTCTGTAGACATCAACAATTTGAGACCATCACCTCTCCGACAAGATGGGTTTCGCTGATTTGAAATCTGAATAATGACTACCTTAAGCGGGGCGGTGATTTGTATTGCTTGGGTGACTTAACATTTGAAATTTCGGTCGTAAATTTTGAGATGGATCTACCTAGTATTTGAGACAGTTAGCAATGGTTCTATATCGATGAACACTTGGCCCCGGTCGAAGATTTGAATCAGTTACTGATCATATTAATCTGAATCTGACCACCGCTACAATTTTAAAATTCATCTAAATTACCTACCTCTCTGATAGGTATCAAACTCTTTTCGACCCATGAAGTTTCTCGATCCATCGAAACTACATACCCCGGGTCTACGATAAAGTACCTTAATTTTCCGACAAAAATTAGGTACTTTATCGTAGGCCTCCTTTCGGGTTTTCTACCCATTTTCTTACCTCCTTGTCTCCTGTAAGATACCTTTAATTACTTTCTCTTTTTCAGTTAAAAAAGTAATCAAACAAGAAATGAAAGAAAATAAATATTAAAAAACTACCTTGGTCCCGTTGGTCAGGAAAATATCGCACATTGACTATGAAAAAGCATTTAGTCAACAGTCACTGGAGTGAAGTATAGGAAAGAAAAAAAATTGTTCGCTGTATAAAGGAGTAAAATCCTTAAAATGATCGCACCCAAATGTTCCGAAAATTTATTTTCCGCCAGATGTGTTTTTTTATTTCCTGTTATGAGGTTTTATCACAAAGACAATAAGGTGTTCCTCATTTCAGTTGGCGGAGACCACGTAAAAATATAACGTCATAAAACTGAGGGGGCGATTTCCATTTTGGTCAAATACAGCTGCAATCTGGTACTACAAGCAAGTAGCCTTTTGTTGAAAGATAGAAATTTGCAATAAGTTTTTATTAAGCCATAGAAAAATAATTTCGAGTGCTCTGTTACGGTGCCAAACAGATGGCACTCTGACTGACAATTCGGCCGTCACGTTAGTGAGCTAATAGTTTCGTGATAGCGGCTACAGTGCCTTTAGAAACTATTGAAGATTCGATTGACAAACATATTATGTAGTGCTGCAATCTTGGGTCGCTGAATAGTGCTAGCCTATTCCAGGCGTTTCGTTATTAAAACGGAGCGAAATAATAATTGGCGTGAAATAGTTAACGGCGCGTTAGTAGCGAGAACAAAAACGAGAAATCTGAACAGGCTAGATTAGCTTTTTGTACAATAGTGCGAGATATAAAGTTACGTCTGGGAACGAACCCAAAATTCTATTTTGTCTAATAGAGGCTCAGTGTTTACGAGCGACCTTTATGCAACCTAGATAAGAAAGCTAGTATCGTGAAGACTTCTTCATGACTCAGTGGAATCCTGCAGATCCTGAACCTGATAAATTTCATTTTTTGCTCACATCCGTTAAGACCTACATGAGTCGAATTCAGAACGTTCCTGCGTTTATAAACGTTAAGATTGTGTCTTTGGCTTTCCTCAAAGTTCCCCGCATTTTACTTTTTTTTTTTAACATTGAAATAGGTGGATCTCCAATGCAGACTCGAAACAGGTCACCACATAAAGAGTTTCTTATTGGTCCGGTTCAGGTTTGCAAATGGGAAAACAGTATTGCAAATTGGGCCATCGAGCGCGTGACGCGATGTAATAAAGCTGTGCTACTGGTTTCTCAATGAAACTTATTAACAAAGTCCAACCATACGTCATGGTGGTGAGTTTACCGATGCAAAAGAAATCATTAATCTATAATTAATCGGTTCCTGTAAAGGAGACACTGAAAAGAGCGAGGTATGGAGGAGAGACGCCATTTTCGGATCGATCACCAGCTCACTAAATAGTTTTCGAAACCGCAAAGCAGATTATCTCGAATCGTAATTTGTTCAGTCACAGGCTGTAGATTGCTTTATACACGCATCCTCGAGACTGAGGAAGAACTATGGTTTACTTCAAAAGGAGCCTCCATTCGCTTTTGGAATCGAGAAACAGTACCCATTTCCTCCATCCGAACTCCCTAGCCCGTTATTTGGTTTTTCGCAAGTCTCGCAAGCGGAAGTTCAGCTAAAAAATTAGTCTCAAAATATAAACTACGGGACGTCCGCTATATACATAACACCCACTTACAGTCTGTGGAAAGGGATCACAGGAGACCCACGTACCTATTTAAACATACATGATTACCTTTGTTTTCTTAAGCAGTACTTGCCATGTTTCCTATCACAGCGGCCATTTTTAATTACGCCAAAGCAAGGTTGGCGTGGTTATCTATTCGGAAGGGAAAGACTGGGACCAAGTTATCTTCTGAAAACGTTCGGGGAAACCGTTCGGAAATATTAGGATCCGCGCTCATTGGAAGAGGGGAAAAAATAATCTGTCTTCACTCTATCGCAGTGTGATACAATTCATTAAAAGTCGCTGTCAGTCTTTTAGATAACGTGATCGTGGATCAGTCAGCACTTAGAGTCTAGCAAAAGAGGAACATTCGATGGAAAACGAAGCAGCCGACAATGATCGAGGAGTTACCGAGGGTTGTCGGTTGAGGTCGTGAAGCAGGATATGTCTGTCTGATAAACCACAAAATTCCTCAAGAACTGGCGAGACATTGATCAACTCAGCTCGGATTACGAAAAACGGAAACTTACCTTCTGTCCGACAGATAAAAATCACTTTTTTCGCTTTTCTTTATTGTGTGTTTCCTTCTCATATGCATTTTGGTGTCTAATCTCTGTATTACATAAAACTGTAAAAACCAACGATAAAATCCGACGTTTCGGAGTAGTCATGACTCCATTATCAAGGAAAATATAAAAGATCATGCAAATTGCAACATATAAAGGGTTTTTAGCGCGAAGAATTAACCTAAGAGGGTGCGAAGATCATAAAAATATAAAAATACTTTCGCACGAATGGAGTCTGATTGCACGTTGAGATTTGGCTTTAGCGCTCTTATAAAAGCCAATCTCAACGTGCAATCAGACTCCATTCGTGCGAAATTATGTTTCATTAATATTTTTATGATCTTCGCACCCTCTTATGTTAATTCTTCGCGCCAAAAGCGCTTTATATGTTGCAATTTGCATGATCTTTTATTTTTCCTTTATAATGGAGTCATGACTACTCCGAAACGTCGGATTTTATTGTTCGCTTTTACATTTTTATGTCTTAAGAAATCTCTGTATTTCTTTGATCAACTACAAAAAAGCTGCCTCATCACTGAGTAATCTAGGCTAGCTTGTTGAGTTACAACGTATTGACAGCCTGCACGAATGGTTCAAATAAATATCCAAAAATCACTTAGCATGCACGTTTGATGTTTAAGCCACGTAACTTTTTGTTTCATAGCTCATGACCTTTCAAGAGTCTAAACAGTATGAGAAACTTTTGAACTTTGTAAGAAAGGACTGATTGTTCCCACGTCAGATTTTTTTGTCTCTTTTTAACGAGATTTCACTCTATTTTCGGATGCTGAACTAGCACCAAAACAATTATTTCTCATTCATTGGTATCGCTTGTTCTCACCCAAAGTGACGTCCAGTATGCATCTGCTGACGTCATAGCATTTTTTACAAGCAATTTTGACTGAGTTGGGACTCACTCTACGTGACCTCTCGATTCTCCTACGTAAATCTAAAATCGTTGTAGTTGCCTTCAACCTCAGAGATGAACTAAATAAAGCTTTCCAATTGATTCAGCATCTTCTTCAAGCCAGTAGATCGATCGATTTCTCCACTCTGTGGGAAACTTTCCTGCAATATGTGCCGATATAGAACAAAAGTGGAGATCGTAAAATGGCTATTTCTAATTCATTGCAATTGGAGGACGTTTTGTTGACGGGAAACTCTACCCGACGCCAGTATTTTAATCCGCGCTAAAATGCTCAGTTGTTATTGCCATTGTGTCTTGCCATGACAAGCCGATAAAAGAGAGAATACAGTGAGCTAATTTACAAGATCGTCAAGTTTTATCCTTACTTTTTTGTTATGATTAAATACGCCACGTTTTCTCGATTCGAGACAGGTGAAATTAGTTTGATTCTTTCTTTGTTTAGTACTTAAATGAACGATTTATTTTAAGTCTCCACAGAACATATCCAATTGCAAGTGACCATCGGCAGGCACGTTCGATGCAAATTTGTTAAAATGGATGAAATTTGAGAAATAATAGTTTTTCGGTCATGGTTTTCAATTCATGATATTTGCATAATGACTCTGACTTACTTATGTCCATTTACAAATCACCATTTGAGTAAACCAATGGTATGCAAAGTGCAATCGACCAGCAAACCCTTTGGATCAGTGGTAAATATCACATCGCAATAGACTAAATAAGGTGGCATTTGTTCCTCGTTTCTCGTGCACCTGTGAAATATTTGTGACCTATCAGTTCCATTCGGTTAGTTGCCTTTGTATTCGTTGGTTTGAAAAAAAAGCTTACAGCTATATTGGATTCTTTACAATTGCCTTTGTTTTACCCGATAAAAGGGCGACCTAATGAACTAAAATATGCAATGTTTCCGAATACATAAACTATAGCATCAGTTGTAACGTCAAACGTGGGCGACATCAGCAAAATAACAAACAGTTAGCTACAAAGGGAGGCATTCCTTATGGAAGCTACAGATTCATTCGCAGATCAGAGTGAAGAAGGAGTAGAAGAGATTCCAGCGTCTTGTATCCTAACTAATTCACCCCAGTTTAGCCGGGTCTTAAAACAAATGAGTAATAAAGAAGATGGAAGAGCTTTCAGGGGAATGCCAAAAAAAGCGGAAAATATGTGGAAGTTCATGCCGGCGATTAAAGTCACTTGCTTTGATGAACCTTACAAGGAACAAATGTTGAAAACGTTGGAAAATAATTCTCTAACAGTGCAAATGGACGAAACATGGACAATATCAGAACGAGAAAATTTAACCGAACAGAAAAACAATGAAAGAGACAGCTCTTCAGAGACAAAAGACATCATCGAGAATAGCAAGTCTACTACCACTTCATATGAGAAAGAAAATTCACCCGTAGATGACGATAATAAAGGAAGAAACTTTGTGAAAGCTAAAAATGTGCAGTTACCAAGAAGGTGTTCGAAAGGGTTTGTAATTTCTTCGCAAAATCCAGGCAGAATTACTTCAACAAAGAAGGAAAACAACGACTCCGTAACAAGGACAGAAAGCTCAAGTCAGGATTATTCAACTTTGGTGCGAGATAAGCTGCCAGGCTCCGAAGAGAAAACCACGAGAAAATCTTCCCTTAGTTCGAGTATTTCTCGCCATGCCGAGAACGTGCCAAAAAGTCCTTCTTCTCAAAGAAGATTTTCAATCGGTGCTTTTTCGGGAGACAATGAACACTCTGATGAGCTTAACAATACTGAAATGAAGAATCGACAACTGAGTTCAAGCATTGCATCGAATGGTTTTCGCTCGCCGAAGTTGGGTGATAGAAAGCAGGTCACAGTGAATGTTAGAAAGAAATCTGAGAGAATTTATTTGTCATTAAAGATTGATTCAACTAATGAAGGACAGACAAACCAGTTTAGAAGACGTTCGTTTACATACGGCAGTCAAACTCAAAACCAGAGAAATAGTTACACCATTAAAAAGAGTTCATCTACAGATGACAAATTAATAGGGAGAAAATTTTCCGAACAACAGATATCATCGGACGGACTTCACCGAACATCCGACGAAGACCCTCGAGTTTTTAAACGGCGCTTGTCGGGTAATGTTGGTACTTTTCCTAGAGAGGTTATGCAAACGCAAGAGTTAAACAAGTCTCCTGGAATTGGAATATCCGAGAAAAGACTATCTTTGGTGAATAATGGAAAGGCTGCTCCAGGTGCTGCTCAAGGTTCTCCATCCTTAAATTTGCGACGTGTGAAATCTAAATCTGTCAGTGACATTGAGGAAACCAGTGAGTTGTCACGCAGGTCAACATCGGATGTAACGCAACGTTTGAATCTTTCCCTTCCAATCGCGCGCCGAGTTGGCATTTCCAAACCACTGCCACTGAAAAATTCATACCACTTGGATTTCAGAACAAACCAAAGTCTGAGCAAATCTGAAACTGATATCCACAGCATCTCTGCAGACGATGGTGATCTTGAAAAGGCAAAACGAATCAGCATTCCGACCCCCCCGCGGGAGCGTCGTCGACTCAGTGATACCAATTCAGAGGAAGGTAGAAAATCTCTCAGTGTAGGTGATAAAGTATCATCAAACAAGTCAGAAACTGATCTTCGTAAGCTTGTGTCTGACGAAGAGAGTGCAGACATGAAAAGAGCTAGTCAGTCATCTCCACTACGCATGCGTAAAGCAAGCAATCCCAAACCGCCTCCAGATATGACAGGTGTTGCGTCGAATCCGTTGTCTCCCAGGCTGGAGCGTAAAATATATTTAGCTGCAGCCAAAGTTGAGGCGCGCCTTCCAACCAGAGCAAAAAGCCGAAGTGACCTGCAAGCCTCGTCTCAGTTTATCATCGACCAAGCTGAGAAGGAGCTAGATAAACTCAGTGAAAGTTTGCCTCACGTCTCGATGGAAGAAGTAATGAAGAGCTGGCATACCGACCACAGGCACTGGAACGTGGTTTCAAGTTTAGTGAACCCACACAGTGAACATAGCGCTTCTGCCACCAACATGGACTCGGTGAAAAACTGTAGATACATTAGAGAAGGAAGCTCGAGGATGAAAAAACTTTCCAGTTGAATGAAACTCAGAGGGAAAGTGATAAACTAATTGCATTTGTATCTTCCCATCAGAAAATCGTTTTCATAATCATATTTACAACTATGCTTGAACTTTCCTTCCTAATTTTGTAAATCGTGGATTCATTCGGTTAAAAAATGTGTAATTACATTATTATAATTTTTATCATTAGTTTTATTGTAATAGTTAAATCACGAATATATACGTTTGAATCTTGTCCATGAAAAGCATTTCAACGTTTGGTTGTGTAGTGAGTTTTAATGAAAAAGATCATTAAGCAAAAAGAATTGTCGTGAAAATAGAAAACAAGGATAGTAGTCTTGTGCACTTTGTTTTCTTCCATTTACTGTTTTCCTTAAAGGGCTACGCTCAACCAGGATGCATTGAGGGAGTGGTGGCCTTTTTCTGTGTTACAGAATAGGAAAACCTGCCGTAGGTGTATGTGCAATATTAGGGACTTTAAGCAAACCACGACGGCTACGGTAACGAGAACGTGGAAAAACAATAGATCTAATTGGCAGAACAATAGCCCAGCACGTTCGTTTTCAAACTTTGTACATTTCTTAGCCTTCCTTTGCAAAACAACAACGTGAAATCACCAAAATTTGCGTCGTCTGTGAAGCTAAACCGCGGCGGCAAGTGATTTTAATTTACATTTGGAACTCAACGCTACATTTATGCGTTATGTTGAGTTTGATGTCTGGCGCCTTATGAGACGGTAAACACATCCAGCCATTTTCGAAATTCTAACTAAAAGTAGAAACTCATTTTTTAATCGACGTCTTCCGTAGCGTTTCCGTCCTGACTGCTTAAAGTCCCTATTATTCGACTAAACCTTTGCAATCTTAATCGAGAACCGGCTTTTTATACCCTCATCTGGTTTCTTCATGTGTCTATCGTCTATTTACTATGTATTTTTGACGTTTTATTTCGCGTTCGCTAAATGCCGTTGCGCTATTCTTTCTCGTTTCCGTTCAGTGTGTAAGAAAATGTATCGAGCTCCCGGATAATAACAATAACAATGGCGCGTAAAGCACGCTGNCCACGCACTCACTGTCCACTCTAAATCGCGGGCTTGTGATGCTAACTCGCCCTAAGACGCCTGCACAGAGGGCTAGAAAAATGTATCAAATGGATATAGGAATAGGTCACGAATGTTTATACGGAAGGCAGACTTATCCTCGGATTTTGGGCAGAAGAACTGAATAAGAATCACTGGGTGTATCTCGTCTGCGTTTGCTTTGATCACGTCCTTGAAACCATTATTTACATTCCCCATGTAGTGCGAGGGTTAGGTTAATGAGTTCCGCCTAAATAAACATCGCTTAAAATCGTGGTTTCCTTTGTTTACCCTGTGGCCGGCAGAATAAACACAACCCTTAAAGCATGTGTGTCATAAAGGAGGCTTTTTAATTATTTCTTAATGCTGTAGCCCGACCAGGCCATGTTAGGTACTTAGATCTTCAACTGCTAACTGATCTACCCGTCTCCTCTGGAGGTCTATATGCGCCTGGTCACGCACACTAAGCCTGAAGAATCATAATCCCGGGAATCGACAACTCACAGATGCAAAGGTCTCGGAGAAAATTATATTTGTTAGTTTATTACTTTTAAGCTCGTTTTGTTGTATTTGTAAGTCTTAATTCTCCGACTCTGATGACGACTTTGTTGTTACTCGACCTTGTCCAAGCGAGAAGGTCTTCGCGTGAAAGACACTAGGATAGTATTTCACCAGTGGAACAGTCCAGAAAGCTCTAGCGATTTCGAGTCGAAGAAATCAGTGCCGAAGTAGCTGAAAAGACTAGCTTTAAAAGCATATCTGGGGAGATCTAGATTTGAGGGGACATATGAAGTTCAAGGCTGGGTAATGGGTTTGAATCATGCAGAAACTAAGATTCCTTGTTATAAATAAATTATACAAGTCACTTCATATTTTCTCATGAACTCCATAAGATCTGTTTGCATATACATCAGCTTTCTTTTCTCGAGCGGTTTGTTTATAACAGTTAAGTAGCGAAAAAAAAAATCATTATTAATATTAGAACTTCGAATGTTTTTTCATGTTTTTGTTCTAATTGTTGCCGTGTCGTAATAGTATTTTACACCTTAGCGAAATGCTATGTCAATATTTGGGCGACGCCTGATGACCTTTTAAAATTTGTTTTGTTGGTTACCGGCATCAGGTGGGCTTGCTTTGCATCGTGATGTCCTACAAAAAGCATAAAGGGAGCGGAAACCGTCGAGAAAGTACTGACACGAATTTTTTAAAATTGAGGTCATTTCCGCTGAAAAATTAAAAATAGCGTGAACTCATGAAAAGGCTTCAAAAGAAGTTGCGCTCTCACTGTCAGCAAACATAAGATAGAACAGTCCGGTGGTAGACTTGCTGTGGTGTTCTTTACCATCTTGTTCTTAATTTGAGAGATTGCTATCGACCACGGACTTTGTTTATTTTCCTTCAGAGCTGCGTTTCTCAAATTCATTTGCTAAAAGGTTGAGCATCAGCCGGGAGAGTGGAATAACAACGCCAACCATTTCTTTAACATCGCCGCTGGAAACCAACGTAAAAATTATGTTTTTTCCGCTGGTGGAAAAGAAAGTAGATTCCTCATCAGCGGGCTTCTTGAGATCTGTAAGCTTCGCTAAAACAGCAGACGCGCCTCGTATGAAACTAAACACCCGGCAAATTGATCCGAGTAATTTTTTCACGGATCAGTACGTGTCAAACAAGGCAAATCCAGATTATGATGATCACAACGGGCACGTCACCGCAACACGAAACAGTCCAGAACGAAAAAATACGGTGCATGCTGCCGAACACGTTTCAAAAATTTCGGGAATCATGTTTGGCAAGAAAACAAACATAAAAAAAGGAAGTAAGATCGGGTCTTTGCGTGGCACGACCCAACAGTCTTTTTCAAGTTTGAAAACCGCACGCGACACGAGATCAAGCGGTTTAGCGCAGCAATCTGATAAATTAAATGGGACAGTTCACAGTTTACCTTCACCCAAGTTGGAAACGAGGGAGACGTTGCCAAGACATTCTGTTAACGGTAAAGGAGGGAATAAGAAAAAAACTGCTAAGCCATCAGAGGTGAAACTCAAGCCTTATTTGTTACCCCGTGTCGATCATTTTCCACAAGCGCCTTTGCACATATCAGTGATACCAAGCCGTGAAGGGCACGCTAGACGAATTTCACCGCGCTTTTCAGTGGAACAAGGAAATGAGGAGTCTTCTACTAAGGCTTCAAGAACAGACATGGCTCATAGTCCAAGAAAACCGAAATATCTTGGAGTAAAGGTTTCAAGTGGAGCTAAGGAAAGATCAAAAAGTCCTGGGAAGTTGTCATCTCCAAATGTATCGACCGCGCGTAAGAAAATCTACAAATCAAGAGATGGCTTTGAGGATGGGGTGGACGACATGGTGCTGCCAAAAGTGACAATCAACGAGGTTTTGCAATCTTGGAACATAAATCCACAGAAAACAAGATCTACCAGTCATCTGGCCGGAAAAGATCCAATGGAATTTCTTTTAAGAGATCGTTCACTTTCGGATGCGAAAAATCCACCGATTCCTTACGAAGAACTCCGAGGTTGTCGATATTTGCGTACAGATAAGGACGATCACGCCCTTCACGGCAAGTTATGTTCTTGTAATTCGTGTGAACACGGGGAAGGGCTAAAAAAATCGCCATATTTGAATTCATAGAAGATATCATAGTGTATCAGTTATATCTACTCGAGGTAATATTTATATCCTCTTGATCTACTCAACCATAACAGGGTCAGCAACATCAGCACAATTTATCGCCGCTATGAAAGTCACGGTTCTGACCGTCAAATTAAAGAAATACTTTGAAGTGGCTCCTTTGTTCAATATGTGAGAGCAATATCCACGCATCTCTAGCCGTTGCGAGGTCGCTTATAAATATTTACCGATTACATGTGAGGCATACATCCGTTGGTTAATCACTACGGAACATTTCGTCAAAATTTTGAATTTAATTAACTTATACTTAAAACAAAATAACGAAGTCAAGTTTTATTTCCCTAAAGCCTTCAATTTTGCTGAATCATTAAAAGGCATAACGAAGATGGTCATATTGTATCATGATATTGCACTATCGAATACAAATGCATGCTAAGACGAGTCGCAAGTATGTAGTTTAACTTACAAACAGTGGGTCTAATAAAATCGGTATTTACCAGTTTACCCCGGCTTGTGTATGATCTATTATAAACACATGACCGACAATTTTAGCGATGTTTTCACCAACGTTCAGATAAAAAGTAAATAAGTTAAAGAGGAGGAAATTTAAAAAAATTCCGTCAATTGTTGAACAGATATTATTTGATAGTCAGACGGTCAAAGGTCTCTTTTGATCTGTCATTCCTTAAAATGACCCAATTGTTGCGGTCATGTAGAGAGATTTTCTGCCAATAACTAACAAGTAATTTAAATCTCAGAGTGAAGCTGTGTTTGAAAATTTATCTTTAATTAGTGTGTATTGTAATCTAATAAAATACAGAATGTTGATGCCCAAAGATAATTTGTGGCACAAGCCTGCTAGTCTCCCTCGCAGCCGTTTTTTTGGGTGTCACGCAACGTCCCGGCTGCGAGGGAGACTACAAGCCTGCCTGCTTGAGAAAAGGTGAGTAAACAGAAGGTGTTCTAGATCAAGTTTAAAAATCGTCATAACTGACTAGTATATTCCTACCGAAATCACTGAAAAGAATATCTACCGCGGTTCACCCTTTCACTCCCACAGGGCTTTTACAGGCGCATAATGCTAGTTAGGGGATTAAAAACTTATCGACAGCCAAAATGCTTATAACTATTGCTAGTTTTGACAAAAAAAAAAACCTGAATTTTGCTGGTCACAAAATCTATAGCAGTTAAAATAAAGAGAAAATAAGGAGATCTTTTAGAAATCTGAGGCGCTCAGGAGGGGGACTGAGATTTTCGGTTTCGCGGTTTTGATTGTGTTTTGGATCGGTTTTTGGGCCAAAAACGTCCGGTTTTTCGGTTTCGATGTTTAGAGCGGTTTGCGGATTTTACGTGTTTTTGCACTCGGTTTTCACTTTTCACGAAAACTCTGATGCGGTTTTCAGTTTTTCCTTTTTGACTCCTTTAAAGGTGAAAATGTAGCGGTTTTGTCAGGTTTGCATGCGGTTTTCGGTTTTGCTGCCTTTTTTCGTCGGTTTTGAGGTTTTTGAGGTTTTTTTCTCCGGTTTTGCGGTTTCTCTTAGGAGTCTCCATAACCACACTGCTGTTCTGCAAATGTTAAACCCGGCGCGGAACTCAAGAAGGCACCGGGAATCGAACCTAAACATTCGGAACGAGGGGCTGAATAGATACGAGGCAGTTATTAAAGGAGCTGAAAACAAGAGAGAAGTGAGGAAGAGGAGAATTTTTAGTGCGACAATGTTAAAGTTTGAACGTTTATAATTAATATGTGTTCGAGGCGGTGAGGTATTCCATGCATGCGAAACTTGGTGCGAGGCGTGAGAGGCATGGTGCGAGGTGTGCGCTGACCAACTTTGGAAACAATTTTAATTTAAAAAAGCCAACTGTAACAAACTTATGATGACGCAAGGACACGTCCTTAATATTACCATTTCTTTGTAACTAAAAGAACATTGCTATTTTGCAAGTGAATATTAACTGGATCTTTCAGTCTCATAGTGGGTTACAACAATTCCTTTTTCACGCCCTACACCTTTCATGAGATGCTAATGTAATAATGACTTTCTGTAATGAACACCTAAATTATGAAAACAAAAAGGCTCCATGCTTGGAAAATCCTGTAAGCCCGATTTACAAAAGACGAAAGCTCTAAGAAGAACAAGCAGCAAGGCAGATACTCGATTCATGGGCCAAGCCAAGATTAAGATTGTAGAAGGATGGATTCCACAAGAAAAAAAATGTAAAAGAAAAAAGACACACACACACTAGCCAAGAACAAGTCGAGTGATTCACGGAAGCGAAGCGGGAGAGAAAATCCATCTGAGAGCTGAGAGCTGGGGGGAGGGGGGGGTCCGATGGAGGGGAAGAGAGAGACAGAATTTGTCAGTCGTTCGACCCAGACTCTTGCACTTCCATATATATTGGCAGCCGTGATCGAACGTCGCACGACGACGGTTATTCCGGAAGCATCTTCCAGCAGCAAAAAAAAAACTAACCTATAGATAATATTTCAGTCATGTAGTTCCAACTTAAAAAATTTTCATAAAAAAGAATGGTATTTTACGATAGCCCGCATGACTCGCGAGCCTTGCAAGCCCACCGGCTCGAACGGTTGTTTGAATGAGTTGCCCGAAGTCGGACACATGTGTTATACTTAAAAATTTCTGGAATCGCCAGGGTTGCCCGAAGGAACTATATGGCGAAAATTTGTTTTAAAGTCCGAATCAAAACGTTTTTTTTCGACAGGCTTTTTTCACAGCGTAAACTCAGGGTTATACTGGACTTCTTTTGTTTCTCGAAAATATCTGGCAGAACCTCTTGCATTAATTAATATTGATGACGATGATGATGAATTCTTTATTATTATAGATCAAACTAAACACTTGCAGACATACGTGCAAGTTTACAATAGATCTCTACAAACATTAAACTAAATAAAATTAAAAAGAGACCTATTTATAAAACAGCGCTTAAAACGCTCTGTGCGAACACACGGCAACGTATAATCATGACCACGCTGGCGTAAAGGACGTGCACGTTTGCTCGCAAGGAGATCCGCCAAACAATGCGCGTTTACATGTGTGACTTTCTCCCACAATTGTTTATTCCTAGTTAAAATTACACTGTTGAAGGATACGCGATCCTTGATGTAACCATATTGCCATGCTCGCTAACAGAATTTATCAATCTTAGAGAGGTATTTACAACCATAAGCACATGCCCATACCTCAATTGCATATGTAAATACAGACATAATCAAGCTACGAAATAAGATCGTAAGTTCTTAAGTTCGTAAGTTCGAATATTGTGGCCTTTGTGCTTGGTTACTTATTTTCCACAAATGATTCTTCCAACCGGTTTATCTAAGATTTTTTCAAACTTTATTACCTTTTGGGTGGAGTGTGGAGTTGGTTTTAGAAATAAGAGGGTGGGCTTTCCATTCTTCACTTTACAAACAGGGAGGTTATCGTCTCTTTATAGGTTCACTAGACAGTGACAGTGAAGCTGGCAGGGGTGATAACGAGGTTATTTTTACTAATAAAAAGGAGGACATTATCTGCACAACTCACACATGTTCTCCCCTTGTGCAACATGTAGATGCCTCTTAATTTAAACTTCACGCGCTAAAATATAAGAAAAAGCTTCCTTAAATATAAGTGCCCATTAAGATTAAAGGAGAGGAGGCATATCTAAGAGAGAACACGAATTAAAAGAGGAAGGCGCCCAAATCAATCAATCAGTCAATCAATAATTCAGTGTATTTAACGTGGTCAGTACGCTTAGAAAACAAATCGAAAAAATGGAAACAAATAAAAGTCTTTTGGAGATGTATAAATTTAAGATGAATTAAGATTAAAAAACTAACTAACATCATGATATAAAAATTCAACATTGTTTTGTCAGACTTAGTTTAAATAGAAAAATATACAATTATAGAAACGGCAAAAATTGAATTAGAATCGCACTCAGAGTCCCGTGAGATTTAATGTTTTTAAGTTGTATTTAAAAGCAGTGTATGCTTGAATCTTTTGAGACTCTTCTGGTTTCGATGCAGCGTATCACAATGATTTTTGGCCGAAAGTTGTTGATTTTGCTTCTGGAAGGTCCTGTAATATAGTGCCTCTGAGGTTGTACGGTAGAGCGACCTACTGTTATAAGATCATGTAAGCCTGCAGGGCCAGCATCGCTGACTAATATCTGGAAAACAGTGGACAACATATTCGTGAATCGTTGTTGGCACAGAGACTTGAGAGACCGATACGCTCACTTCTTCATAAGGCAAGAACTTATCTCTGAAAACAAAAAGGAGCGCTCGTTTGTTCACCATCTCTAACTTGTAAGCTGACTTTTCAAGTGTCACGGCGGAACAGGAATTAAAGTGTGCAGATAGAGTGGAAGATTCCTTCTAGTCTCAAAAGGCAACATTTTCTGCATCCTTTTTAATACAGCGATCTGTTAACCGACTTTTCCACTATTTTAGCGATGTGCATATATGTCGAAATTTAAATTGTCATCAATTGTTACGCCAAGAAGTGCCATTGTGTTGGATATGGGAGGTTGTCACTCGGCACTTGAACACTGGCTCATCAGTTCCTTTGTTTTTCCCAACAACATCGCATGGTATTTTGGACCAGTTTCAAGGCATCATTGGAAAGATCCTTGCTTTTCCAGATTCCTACCTTGTAACGAAAACTCCGATTTGGACTGCTAAAATCGAAGATTCCTTCATAGATAAAATATCAGTATTTGTAAGAACGCCACAATTGAGAGGTTGAGCCTGGGCATTTAAGGTGATTTCTCAGAAAAAGTTATCCAACAATCTCTTTAAACTTTCCTTTAAAAATTCCCTATTAATGTCCGTTTCGAAAGATACAATAAAAAAGATATATGACCGTACTTGCTTAAGAGATATGATGGGCCAAACTTTCCCCACTAGGTAATTTGGTTATATCAACTAAGTTGAAATTGTAAATTGGCCGCCGTAAAGAATTAAAAAGCTGACGTTTCGAGCCTTAGCCCTTCGTCAGAGCGAGTAACGAAGGACTAACGCTCGAAACGTCAGCCTTTTAACTTGTTACGGTGGCCAATTCAATTTACAATTTCAACTTAGTTGATGTAACCAAATGACCTTGTTCCCCCACCGACGCAGCACCACAGTTTCTCTAGAAACTTTCAGCCTTTCCCCATTGCTGCCTATACTGGCACAAAGCACGCGCGTCGTTTTATCGGTTCACAGTACGTTTTGTGGTCGCTGGAAACAACTGAGGGCTTTTAAAGTAACACCTAAAAACTTTATAAGTGGAACGTCGCAAGCATATGGAACAATTTGACTCGTAACTTTTGAAAAAAACCACTCAGTTTTGAACGACATCGACTGGAAAGGTTCCTTGACTCGTTGCTTTCTCGAGTAACGGGCCTCATGCATGCTTTTAGCTACATCTTTTTTTCCACTCGATAATTTTGTTTTTAGTTTCTCTGATTTAAAGGGGACAATTTTTAGACCAAAATTATACAATAAAAAAATATGGTTCACCGTGCTTGTTCAAGAGCTAAAGACCATCGCAGCCTTTACCTGGCCCTTTACCTTTATTGAAGAACAATACGGTGTTCTCGGAATACGCGCGCTTGTTCGCCTAATTACGTGATTTTTATAGGCAGTACAGGTTGAGCAGTGCAATACTGTGGAATCATCCAAATAACGCTACTTGTTACATGCAAAGTGGTATAAGCAAAATTACATATTCACACGGTTCCACACAATGGAAGTCAGGATACATACTTGCGTGCCACAAAAACGGGGAGTTTCACAACTTTTGAGTTCTTTTAGGGTACAACAGTTACAACACAAAGGGAAATATAAGCATCATATTGCAATGATTATAACCTATGTATCCAGCGCACGTAAATCCTTTTGAAAACAACAAAAAGAGCTGACCTACTTAGGGCGGACGGGTTGACCTAAGCCGAATCTGAAAAATGCCCTAAGGGCTTCTGTTGGATTTTCCGAGAACAGGAATTCTAATTGTTTTGGAAAGTGACGTCAAATTACTTTTCCGCTAAAACGTGTTTTGAAAATTCTATATCTTGATAATCAAGGAAACGTTTGAAGTGACCTTCCTTGTTCAGGTAACTTTGAACAAAATGAGGCCGGGAATTTCCTCGTAGAGCGACTCTTTTGGTTGGGAACACACTTAAAACTCATGAGCGTTGAACAAGTCCTTGTTCGTGGCTATGTAACGGGATTGACATTCACGCAACTATTAATTGATAGCTATTTTTGGCAAAAGAGAGTTTAGACGACCACTTAAGCACTTAGGTGCTAGAAAAAGAAATGCGGAAAGACAGATTGTTGTAAAATGTTTGACGCAAATCGTAAATAAACCCAGACGGAAAGTCGATCTAGCCACTCAAAGGAAATACCGCCAGATCATCTTTAATTATTTATCTGACAGATTTTCCAGTTCAGCCCATCTAAAACCAAACAGTGAAAGAAGAACCCTTGGGAGCCACCCTATTAAGGCTGTGGTCCCTAGTGCAAAGAAAGTTGTTCTTTTCAATTTTCATTCTTCCTGCGAACGATCAATGCTATTGAATGGAACTCCCTTCTCGAAGATGTTGCAAAAGTAACATCCGTAGATAGTTTAGATCTAAGGCAGTCAGTTGAAATATTCTACTGTGTAAGTATTTCTTTCAGATTTTATATTATTCCATGATTTTTAAACGTTTTTAGATTATTATAATTATTATAAATATTATTATCTTATTAATATCATTACTATTTATTTATTTGTTGTAAACAGTTGGTGTGATATCTTGTGTGCATGAACTCGGAAACTGAAGCAAAGGCGCGGCTGCTGAACATCCCATGACTCTTTGCAATCTTAGCTAAGGCGGAAGCCTCTTCCTTTAAAGTGCCGTCTGAATATATACATCAGCATGCGGTGATTGTTTTCATCCAAAATACCACATATCTTTCGGGCGTTTCTAGCCATATTTTAAAGCATGACTGTTGAAGGGCAGCATCTTCGATTTTCGGTAGATTTGCCGTTCAAAGCTGGCCATGAAGCCATTGTGTCTCACATGGAAAGCGAACTAAAACATCTTGAGCATGTCAAAGAATACCTAAATAAGAGAGCTAAAGTGGAACTAGAGTACGCGTTAGCCTTGACCAGAATCAACACCACTGCTTCGAAAGTAATCACCGACAGTGATAAAGAGAGCCCGGTCCGAAAGGTGGGTTATTTCAATCTTAGTTTCGTTTGTTAGACATTCGGCGTGTGCTTCTAAATGATTTGATCACATTTTATATGAATGATCACACGGTGATATGAATCGGAAGCTTAATTATTATCAAAGAAACAATGTGAAATCTTGGTAGTTTCCTTGATACAAGCTATCGGTATATTTGGACAATTTTTTCTGGATACGAGCCCGAGATAAGTTATCATTTGACTCTCCGTCCGGCATAAAATCTGACATTTCTCCGTTCAAAGTCTCATATCACGTTTTAACTTTTAACATAAACATCAGCTTTCCTTTGTAAATAATATACGTGAACCCTATTTGCTTTTGATCCAGGTCAATTGTAGGTAAGTCAGCGATTCATTTATTGTTCGTAGATACTCATGAAGTAGGTTGCATTTCTCTAGCTGATTGGTTGCTGAATGGGGTTTTGACCGTTCTAGAACAGATCATCGGCGAATAATTCAAAATATTTACACTGAGTATATAATATATATATTTTAAGAAATAATCATCAATTTATCAGGATGCTTTTCAGGCCGGTATTTTGAGTGTAATATAACTTCCTACAAAAGCGCAGCAATATCTCTTAAAAACAGTTTATTTTAAGTGAGGGAATTTTGGCTGGAAAATGAAAAACATTCAGAAAACGTGATATTTATGAATGCAAAATAATGAGTGTTTATTTACTTAAATATTTTTCATGGTTAGTTGCTTTATCTTAACAGAGACAAACTTGTTTGCCAATTTTAATTTATGTAAGTTTGTGAAAATCCAATAAAATATAAAATGAATCTTTTGCTAGTCCTTTTTCCTTGATGTTTCTTTATTTCTAAGAAACTATGATTTTCATGCAGAGTGGTTATGTGTTGACTGTTTTATTTTAATATATGTACAGTTCATGTACAATTTTATTAGTGATGTCTCTTAAAACCCATCTGCTCTTCATAGCCTGTTGCTTCTTTACACCACATGTTGATATAAGTTTTGGTTTCAAACATATTTAATATAATTTGGATGCTAAACACTTTGAAATTAAGTGCTTCAATCTACAGTTTCTGTTTTAGTTGGTAATGGCTTCACCATAGAACACTTCAATGGAGCTATGTTGTAACATGTTCAGTTTGATCACAACATAAATATACATTTAAATGAAAAGAAAATAAATGAAGGAAATTGTATTTAAAAAATTGATGACATGAAATGCATTATACATGCCATTCTCAATGTTGTCACATTCATCATGATGCAAAATTGACAGACAAAGCAAGGGATAGGTGTTCCCTTGTTTTAAATTGTGCCTTGCATAGTACATGTATATTTCTGTAACTTTTTATTCTAATTCCATCAGCAATCAACTCTAAATAATATGCAAAATCATAATTTTTAGAAATAATAAAAATGAAATTTAACATGGAATGCTTATACGATAATGCCAATAATTTATTTTCAACTACTAGATGTATGATAAAGGTATAGCTCTCTTACCAGTCAAACTTGTTGGGGGCTAATTTCGTATGGAATGAAACCTTCATAAGATGCAGAATGATTGATAGCTAGAATTAGGGAGAGTTCATAAATAAATGTTATCTTGGGAATGAAAGAACTACTGTCTAATCTTTATTAAACAGCACAGTATTAAGCAGTGACCCTGAATTCCCAAATTTTTTCCCCTTAATTACATTAATTTTCTCCTCTTTGAGACAGTCACCTTCATTAAGCAGCTGTGTTCATCCTTTTCAAAGTTTCAACGGCTTGTTTGTATTGTTCTCTACCTGAATTGAATGGTCACTTAAAGCACAATCACTGAGATAAAACTATGAATAATCTTTCAAGTAAAATTGTATCCATTTTTATCTCCCAAAATCAATGTTGGTAGTTTTTGTGAGTGCGTTTTTGTAAAAATCAACTGGTCAATTATGGCAAATCATGGTGTCTTTTTATGGTTTCTTATAATACTCCTATTCTGTGTAACCTGTATTAATTATTAATTTCTGTATTAATTTCTTTTTTTAACCTTGTAGAATAAATGTTCGACTTGATCCCTTAACTCCATTTAATGTGTCTCAATCCATACTATCTGATTTGTATGATCTGGTTTTGCTTCATCTGATTTGAAATAATGATCAGACTAGTCAGACAATCTGGTTTAGCTTGGTCTTCATCCTAAGATCTGGTTTGAGAGATTTATAGACCGAATGGAAATGTGGCAAAAAATGAAAGGTCAACAGCAAGCTAGAGCCCATGGTCCATACCATAATATACAAACTAAACCCAGTAGGGCATGGGTAGGGCAAAAACTAAATATGATGTATTGCAATCAATTATTAAGTAGTCTCCCTGCCATTCTCCATGTGTTACAGCTTAATGCAAGTCTCAAGCCACTGGGTCTGGGAATGGGTGTGGGATTATATTATAAGGTAGAATGTTCAGGGCTTGACATTAACTTTTCAACATACTAGCCAAGTGGCTAGTGACAACTTAGATGTTACAACAATTTCACTTTGTTTACTAGCCAAACTGGCTGGTGGAAATTGAAAACCACCAGCCAAAACTGAATTTCTACTAGTCTGTGGCTAGTGGGCTACTGTTAGTGTCGAGCCCTGCTGGTTAGTGTAAACTGAAAACCACTAGCCAAAAAATTTCTGCTAGTCCCTGGCTAGTTGGCTACTGTTAGTGACAAGCCCTGAGGTTTATTGAAATGTATGTAATTTTTATTTGTTTTCAGTATTCAATCTTCAAAATTAATTATAACCTCTCAAATTTGAAAATTAGCGCTCAAGTTAACTCCATTTTTTTTCCTGTTAGGCGTGGTCAACATATATCACAGAAAGTGAAAAAAAGGCAAAATTGATAACAGAATTTAACAACATCTTGAATTCTACGACTTTGAAAAGATTGGAACAACTCATTGAGGACAAGAAAAACTTGCTGAAAAAGTACAGAAATGAAAGATTTAGAATTGAGAGTGGCTTCAAACAAGAATCCGATGAAATTGATAGACTGAGGAAAACATACCAAGAAAATGCGAAAGAGGCTGAATCAAGCAAAAGAAAATATGAGGAAGTTCTTGGAAAAGATAAGTTCAGCAGCAAGGATTGGGAAAGATCCAAAGATAGATATGTAAAAACAACTCTTAAACTTCATCAGAACCATAATGACTATGTTTTGGCTTTGAAATCTGGAAACTGTCACCAAGGGTTCTTCAATGACATTCTTATACCAACAATGTTGAATTCCCTTCAATATTTGCAAGAGGAATACATTGCTGAATGGTAAGCTAGATAAGTCTGTATTTGTATATTTGCTCTCTGCCACTGTGTGTATTCATCTGATTCAACAGTTGTACCCTCAGGTGACCCAACCATTTTATTTTTCAGTCCTGTTAGTTGACCTGAAATAAAAGATCAGATTTCATGTCATTTGCAAACTGATTACAGCCAAGTTGATTTAGAATCTGCTAAGGTCTGAAATAACTTTTTTTGAGAGGATGTGTATGTTTCTTCACATTAATTATAATTATATATGCTTGGGGACCATCACCAACACAATGTACAAAAGTACAAAAAAATATGTTCATAGTTGTAAGATAGTGCCAAAAGAGGTAAGCATATGCTTCTTCTTAAGAGAGAGTGTCTGTCTGAATTTGTAAATACAGAGTTTGACTGGGAGGCAAAATGGGGAGTCGAACGAAGTGTTCATACATGATGCCATCTGCTGACCAGTGTCTGTTAGTAGAGAGTTAACTGTAACTTGGAGTATTTATTAACAAGTATTCACTTAAGATGAAATGAATTATTGTCGAACAATCCCTGAGATAAAGTTGAGAGGAGAATTCAACAATATTCAGCGAACCTCAGGTGAATAATTGTTTTAATATTAATTGGTCAGATGCTTTTGAATTCTTTTGTAAATTTGACAGCTTCATTTAATTCAAATAGCAAAAACTTTATAATTATTTTCTTTCTCTTGATAAGTGTTATACCAAACTTACAGCTTTTGTGCTCTTCGAAATTGAATTTTCTTCTATCAGCTTTATTGCTTCCAGGGTAACATTGACAAAACAGCAGCCAGCTATTTTGAAATTTAGAACCCCCGCTATAGTCACCTTGTGCAAGGAGATCATAGCAAGATATGATGCAATCCGCAATCCTCAACCACTCAGAATGCATGCATATATCTATAATCACGGGAGCAATTAGATGTATACTAACTTCCTTACTAACACTGATTCAGCAAGTAGAGTAAAAAAGATAAGCATTTTCATAAAATATTTGCCATGTTTTATTGTTTTTTTCTATGTATTTTGTGCACAATCCTTGCAGTAAAGAGCACTATTTAAGCAATAGTGAAAATCAGACCTGAACAAATTCAGACCTGTTTGGGATTTGAACCACTGACCTCTGCAGTACTAGTGCAGCGCTCTACCAATTGAGCTAACAAGCCAACTGGGAGCAGGCCATTAAGTTGATTCGTAATAAACCCGTGATAATAAATCAGATACGATGAATATATGAAGTTCATATATTTTGAACTGCGGTTATAGATACGTATGATGCACAATCCTCGCAGTAGAGAGCGCTATTTACGCAATAGCAAAAATCAGACCTGAAAAAATCAGGCCTGTACGGGATTTGAACCACTGACCTCTGCAATACTAGTGCAGTGCTCTACCAATTGAGCTAACAAGCCAACTTGGAGCAGGAATCCCGTACAGGCCTGAATTTGTTCAGGTCTGATTTTCACTATTGCTTATTTGCTTTTTACTGCGAGGATCAGGCACAAAATACGTTTCTATAACCGCAGTTCAGATATATGAATTTCATATATTCGTTGTGTTTGATATATCATCTTATGGGTTTGTGGAATTAATTTGATGACCTGCTCCAAGTTGGCTTGTTAGCTCAACTGGTAGAGCACTGCACTAGTATCGCAGAGGTCAGTGGTTAGAATCCCGTACAGGCCTGAATTTGTTCAGGTCTGATCTTCACTATTGCTTTTACAGTGCTCTTTACTGTGAGGATCGTGCACAAAATACGTTTCTATAACCGCAGCTCAGATATATGAATTTGGTATATTTGTTGTGTTTGTGTTTTCTATGAAACTTTTCCCCTTTGTGCAAAATCTCTAAAAACAACAGCTGCACTATTCTTTGGAATGGTTATCTTACTTTGACTTCAGACCATAAAAATGGAGTTAATGTCAGTTTAAATTTGACAACTTGTTACATGAATACTGTATATAGCTTGCAAAAAGGTTTTGGTCCCAGCGAATGAATTGGTTGCAGCTTGGAGTGCACTCTTCATGATAATTGAATGGCTGTAAGATATGTTTGACATTTTATTCACCTCAAGCAATGAAAGGGTCTAGAAATGCCCCTCTCCAGTTGTCCTGAGTAAGCTTAATTAAGAGTGTACACTGCACTTTTCAGGATCACTAGCAAACCCACTTGGGTAAACCCCAGACTTGCCACATTTCAACTCACTTCCAATCAGCTGGATTTCAGATATTGAACAATTAACTGAGATGCAATTAGCTGGTGATAACTAATTGTGATTACTTTGTCCAATGCAGGAAGGATCTTCTCCAAGATGTGATTAATCTCACAAACTGCTGCCGTGAAGAGTTTTTGTCATCAAGCAGAGTTGTACAAACAAGTGTTAATGAAGTGAAGAAGCAGCAGGAATACTCTTCTTTTATAAGCAAGTTCAGGTATTCAATATTTTGAGTTCTTGGTTTACAAGCACAATTACATCATTCTGTACTTTCTGGGTTACACCACAGAGTGCACACATGATTACAAATTTTTAGTGGTGCCACGTTGTTTGTTTTGTCCTAGACTTCCAGTAGTCCCTCCATTTTGGCTAAGTCTGTTGGGCAAGTCAAAAAAAAAAAAAAAAAATCACTAAAAAAAATTGAAGTTAGCATGCTGCTGTTAACTTTTTAGAGTGACACAGATGCACCCTGGGAGCTCCATGAGTGAGGCACTTGAAGAGTAAGCTCCTGTGGCACACCAATATTGCTCCAAGAGTTGCTTGTGGCACTGTAACAGCAACTCTTTTTCACTGATTTTTTTTGTCCTTGACAATAAAACTTGACCCAAGGGGTGAACTTGGTTGCATGAGAATTGTTATTACAACTGTAGAATGTTAAATCATGCCTAATTTTAAATCTTACGTACTTAGATAGTATGACTGAAAGAAGATGAAATCAAAATTTTAGTCGATACAATTGCCATAATTTTTCTATTTCCTTAAACATTGTGCTTTTGAAATTCTTAGTGAGGCTGTATTGTAAAAGGGTCACTTTTCTTTTTTTTTTTAATAATTTTTTCCCCATATTTTCTTCAGACAAGACCCTTCACCAGTGGTGCCGTTCATATTTGATCCAAATGTTTTAGAATTAACGTCAACAGGAGTTACTGCTGATGAACTGGTTGTCAATGATTTGACTTTAGAGAAGCTACAACACAAGTGAGTCAATCATAAAAAAAAATGCTATTAATCATATTAGAGATTACAAGAACCAAAGAAACTTCTGAGATGATATGTGACTGAATTCACAGCTTCCATAAACCACAAATTAAACCTATTGACTAGCACTGCATATCTCCCTGATGATTGCCTCAGGTAGAGACTGGAAAGTTCATCTCTTGCTGTACTATGGCAAATAGAGCTAAATTTGTCTCCTGGATAGTTGGAATGTTGCCAAGCAGCTATTTTGATTTGGGTATTTAGTCTATCAGTGTCAGGTGTCATTTAAACCCATTAAAGCAAAGGCTTTCCTCTTGTCAATATCCTTGTTCGTCAGACAAATCCATTTATGGCCACCTTGACAATTTCCTGTTTTTTAAAACACCCATTCAAATGCTGTATTTGCTCTGGTGTCTATACTGTGCTTGTCAGGGGACTTTAGGTACAAGAAATGTTCATGTAGGACATGGCAGAATCTCACTCTTCCTAATTAAGAAATCTCACAGGATGTGTTAATGGTACAGTTGTATCTGAAAAAAAAAGTCTTACTCATTGAAGACTGCGGTTCGGGCAGTTGAAAGCTTGTTGTTTTTAATAATTTTTGCCAGAGATTGTTTTTAAATTTCAACTATGTTTCATCCTGGCTGCTGCCCTTCAATATTTTCATTTTAAAGTGTTTTTAATGTTCACCAGGTTTTGACAGGATGCGTAGGTGTCAGGCTTCACAAAATCACACACTTCCTTGAATAACTGGCTTAATACTTCAGCAACATAATAAAGTTTCTGGAAAAGCTTTTGCTTACTTTTCATTACCTACATTAATTTTGTATGTTCTTTGAAACTTATTGAAGGTGGTATTTCGGTCACTTTTTGTTGTTTTACAGCTCAATCTAGAGTTGTTTTGATATGCTTATCAAGTTTTACAATGTGTGGACAGTAAGCCATTTCAAGAGTTGCATGAATGAATTTTTATGACATTGCTTTTCATCACTAGGAGAGCATTGCTTTGCAAGGATCTTGAAAATGTGGATAAGCAACTGGAATCTAAGGTAACGGAAAACTGTGGTCCTGCACACACACTGTGCACTAAAATGTAAATGTGTGTGAGATGTGAATTAAATTTTAGAGCCTCCTTGCCTCACAAATCTATACAGAGAACAGGACATTCTGAAATGTTCTTGATGTTGGATGCTTGTAAATTTGAAAATGCTCCAGCATTATGTTGTGATTTAAACAAAAAAAAAAAGACAAATGTTACGAAAAGGGAACATTTTGAAAAGGATCACCAAACTGCTCTGACTTTTTATTTTCTTTTTCAGTTTTTGGACTGGATAATCAGGCTCTTGAACATTGTATATGAGAATGCTCATATACAGTATGTGCAAATCCTTAAATCTGTCCAATGTAATGTGGTTTGGGTCAAAGATAATGTTATCCCTGGATTGTTACTTGACTGAAAAATCAATCTTTCACTCCCAGGGATGATCAAAAAGTAATTTCTCCCTCGGTCACAAGTATATTTTAAACCAAAATGTGACAAGAAGAAAGAAAAGTACCAACTAAGGAATGTTATTTGAATTAAATTCTCAGATAGGAAATTCTTAATGAAGGATGGAAAGTTCAGAGGTTATAATTACATGACTTTTTGTATGTACTTGGAGTGTTAAGGGATAATGAAATACTTCACTGCATAATTACAGAAATCAGAAGTGGAACAGGAATCTGTTGATCTCCAGACTGTTAAGAGTGAGGGAGCTGAGAATCTGAGGTACAGTGCTGACATTTTTTTTTAATGATTAATTTTCTAACCTCCTACCTCAAAGGGTGTGTGATATGTTTGTGGGTTTTTGTGTGTTCAAAAGGCTAAAGCTGTGATCAATGCATAGTCACTTCCCCGAGCTGTCAGAGAAAAATTTCTGAGAAAATTTCTGAAATACAAACTTGGTAATCAAATTGCAACTTGATTGTTGGACTTGGTTCTGGCAAATTATTATGATTTGCCAGTGTCCAGAACTGATCAATTGGTTGTCTTCAGCAAATAATTGATCCTCTAGCTGTTGAAAACTCATGATACATTTGTAACTATGTTAGTGGATTTTTTTTTCTTATTAAACTTATTTTTCATTGTTTTCCACAAAAGCACCTAGACTTAACAGAGAGGATTACAGCATTACAAATTTTAAATCGATTTGTTCAGGAATTGTGGAAGGACTTCACCCAGTGATCTATAATTTCATACAATCTTGGTTTTGAGACATGAAGTGAAAGATCCTTAATTGTTGTGTGGTAAATAATTAGACTTTAAAAATGCCAACCATATAGGCAAATGTATGTTGATTCAATTCCAGCATCATGCAGAAAGAACAGACAGTATCTGTGTTAAACTGGTCTGTGGAAGACATCAAGTGCAGTCAGACTAAACTGCAGGTATACAGTAAATCGGGATCTGTGTATTTTATGTCTAAATCACATACCAGCACTTCAGATTGCAGGCGAATGGAAGAAAGAGGAGTCATTTTCTAATCTTTTTTTTTTTTTTGGGAGAAGGGCTAATTAAAATTTTTAGAATGTAAATTTATTTTTGTTTTTATACGAGTACTAATACAGATTTTCTTAAATAGCTGATACTCTTATGATTATTCTGTCGAACCTTTCTTTTTGCGCACCTCTATTAAGGTGGCAACCTCATTGAAATGATCATTAATTGTGGTCTTGACTGTACTTGTGTGACTTTATCTGTTGCCTTTTTCGATGATACAACTCTTTTCAAAGAAATAGTTAATTATTGGTAATTATCTACAGGCTGAAACATCAAATCCTTTCAAAGGGGGAAGGTTAATTTTTTTGTTTTTACAAAGTAATGGATTATTGTAAGATTGGCATTGGTAATGCTTCATTTTCTAACTTATTTATTTTACGATTTCAGAAAATATGTTCCCAGATTGCAACAGCACTTGATAAACTTGGTAATTCACAGCCTCCAAAGTTTGCAGATCTATCTCCCCCTGGGTCAACGCCAACTGGGGTTAGTTATTCATGCATGGCTTCTTGCTAATTAGACCTTTGACTTGTTGTTTTGTGGCCCTGTGAATAGGCGCCATATCACATTGTACAGAGAGATTCCTCTAAAATCGGTCATATTTTCAGGGCGTGACACTAACTTTTCAACTTACTAGCCAAGTGGCTAGTGACAACTTAGATGTTACAACAATTTCAGTTTGTTTACTGGCCAAAGTGGCCAGTGGAAATCGAAAATTACTGGCCAAAACTGAAGTTCTACTAGTCTGTGGCTAGTGGGCTAGCTTCGAGCCCTGATTTATCCATGACGTATGTACATGTATGCACCATTTATTTCTATCAAGACAAAGCATCAAACCACAAGATTTAAACCTTCAACAGCTTGCGGTAAATTGGTCTGACAGTTAAGTTAAACTTCGATTGAAGAAACCACGCCACGTATATCATCAAACTGAAAAGCTTATTACGAGAGAAGTACTGTACATGTTGCTGTAAGATCTTGCCTTACAGGCCACAAGATGTTTTTTAGATGGAGTGGTAATGAACGATTATTGAGGTTATGCTATTTTGAAACAGCTATTGGTTGCCGCGCTGTAAAGAACACCTTATTATTACACTCCTGAACATGGGATCTACCGCCAAAGGTTTTGAAAACCAGCCCCTCATAATAATGCATATATACTTTGTTATAGTATCTACTAGTATCGCAGAGGTCAGTGGTTCGAATCCCGTACAGGCCTGATTTTTTTCAGGTCTGATTTTCGCTATTGCATAAATAGCGCTCTCTACTGAGAGGATCGTGCATCATACGTCTACTCTGTTATCAAAATTTCCATATGGAGTTCGTGTTTTGTTTTGTTTTTTTTTTCGGTGTGATTCTCTGCAGGAGTTTGGTCAGTCAACGCCTGAGATTAGAAAAAGTGGCAGGAAAATACCGACTCTGTTCAAGAAAAGGAAACTGGAAAGAGAAACATCAGCTGGCAAAACTAGTAACAAGCCGGCACGATACGGAGCTCCTCAGGCACAAGGGGTCAATGGTGGGTCATATGAGGAAGATTCGGATAACAGTGCTCAAGGAGAATACATCGAGGTAAAGCCAGAAAGAGATTGCTAAAAGTAGAAGGTATATCGATAGAGTGTTGTATAAGTTAAGCGAAAGTTAGCATCCCGGCTATTCAGAACAAATTAGGACGGCACATGGAGCTAATGAGACTCTAAAGTGATTCATGCAAACGACACCTAATCATATATATCTATGCAACTAATCATATATATCTATGCTATAGATATAACTATATGATTTGCTTGAGAAAACAGATAGGCCAATCTCAAAGAGGATTAGTTGCCTGCCTACTCATCCGCTGTACAATTTGTCGCCCAAAGTTAAAGAATCTTCCAAACGTTTGAGAACTCAAACAAGCCTGCTACCTTGTGTCAACACAGAGCGTTTCAAACGCGGATAATCAAGTGGCGATTGGTTTAAGTTGTGAATTTGATTGGTCGAGAGGATGGCGAAAGTTTTCTAAACCAATCACAGAAAGGGCTGAATCAAAGCTGATGCATTTCCGGAAGATGCACTTTACTCGAATGAAAATTGCCTTGAGCTGTGTTGTTTTCGATCTTACGCGCTTAGAAACCGAACGAATGGCACTGTTAACGGGAGTGTAGACTTGCTTGTTTTGTTTGGTTGTTCGTGTGCCTTTTTGTTTGTTTTGAAATCCATGTAAATACTTCGTTCGTTCGACCCAAAAAATAACTGTCCGTTGCCTTTTTTTTTTGGGGGGGGGGGGGCGATTCTCAAATTTATTCAGTGCCTCTCTCTCCACTCAGGATTATATTGGGGTGCCAGCAAGGTGGTGAGGAAATCTATATGTCTTATTAGACGTTTTGTTGTGTAGTATCGCTGAGTATTTTTACGAGTTGTGCCGTATTCTGACGAGCCCGTAGGGCGAGTCAAAATACAAATAACGAGTAAAAATACTCAGCGATACTACACAACTAAACGTCTAATAAGTTATTTATTATCCAACACGCCAAACTGTTATTTCAGTGCGGGCGAATTTCGCGGATGTTTATTTACGTGGAGTGCATGACAGAAGTATACGAAGCGGAACGGAATTGGCGCGTTGTCGTGTTGCTGTTTCTATTAGCTTCAATAAATGAAGAAATTTCCTGGTCGTCTAGCTGTTTTCCTCGTTCGATTCATCTAATAAACTTGGATCCATATTACCAGCCATTCTGACTCTTCGTCGTCGGAAATGTGATTCAAATTGTCCGCCATTTTTCTTTTTGTAACTACAATCCAACTCTTCGTCGTCGGAAATATGATTCAAATTGTCCGCCACTTTTTTTTTTTTCGTAACTACAATCCAATTCTTCGCTTGCGATGGCGTTATTTGTACTCGTCCAGGTGTAGTTGGATAATAAGACGAAATACTGGCCGGTATCACAGTACGATTTGACATCCCAACCGGGGAGGGGAAAGGGGGAAATAATTAAATTAAGATTAAAACTATGCTACGGAAATCGGGATGCACTCTGGCGCGAATTGTCCTTTTTCTGGTTAACACAGTCAGCCGGAGCTTTGAAGTTCCATGTCACTTTGTTTCTTAATTATCTTTAGCCAGATGATGATCTTGCTCTGGAAGAAGAAATGTGGTTTCATGGCACGATTGACCGCAAAGATGTCCCCAACCTGCTAAAAAATGAGGGAGATTACCTCGTCAGAGAGAGTTCCACAAAGCCCGGTCAGTTTGTTCTGTCCACACGGAGTGATGATCAAATCAGACATTTTATTATTCAATCATCAGACGATGTAAGTGGCACTTATCTAATCAAATGTGTATCCTTTCTTCTCTGAGATGGTGTGTTTAAAGTGCCCTTAGCCCTAGTTCTACTTCGATTCCCGCAATTAGTTTTGGCCGAGTCTACGTTCGGCTACAAGATGTGCAATCAGCACAGTGGACTTGGGGTGCAGTTGTGAACCATGCAGGCTTACATTTGTTTACATTTGGTTACCTTCGCTCTAACGAAAGGGCTAACGCTCGAAGCGTCAGCCTTGAAACTCTTTGCGGTGGCAAATTTTCATTATCAACTCAGTTGATAAAACCAAATACCTTGTTATTATCTCTCACCGACGCAGCTCCACGGTTTCTGTGGAAACCCATCCCCTTTATACATTTGGTACGGTCGAGGAATCTCAACAATTGGATGCAGGCCTCTGCACTGAAAGATCCCATCACACGCTAACGTTCTGTTTTCGTGTACAAACATACTGAGTATGCAAATTGGCGACAAGTTGAAGCATGCTAACATTTATAGTTCGTGATGGTAACAAGGTTCCCCAGCTGAAACCAAGTTTCACCCAAAACTGTATTTTAAAGATCATTGTGATAATTTTCGAAGTGGCTTGTTTCAATACATGAAGGCTGCTTGCGTACAGTAAAGCGCGAGATTTTATTCTTTTGGACGTTTTTGCCTTTATCGACACGAGGGAGAAAAGTTAAATTTGACTGTAGTTCTAGCGCGATTTGATCCTGTTGCGTTTCTTGAAATCCGCAACTAAGGTCGACAAGCGAATCGTTCCGAAAATGGTGGAAAAGCGAACTTTTCCAAAACAAAGATTACAAAGGCATTGAAGTCAAAATCATTACATTGGAAAACGACCCGGTAAACCTCCACCTATTTGAAGCGTTTTACATATGGAAAAACAAACCTACACTTAACTACCGAGAAGAATGCATTCAATTCGCGGACCTATTGTTCTAACACACTGGATCCTCTCACAGTGACACTAGCTCAGTAGTATAGTGACACTTTTCTCCCTTTTAGTCGGCCCTCGCGGAATATTTTATCTTATCCGTCCCTGATGATGCCGTTGAGCGGCGAAAGCTCAGACTTTTACAATATTTTACAGTAATTCAAGGCCACATTAGTGTTTCCGTACGAGGCAAGAAGTGCCAAGAGTAAATTATTAGCGCTAAAATCCTACAGTATGTACCCTAAAGGGTTTTTTTTCGGGGAGGAAGGATTTTAAGAGACTCGCATCATGATCACTTGTAACAACGGTATAACAACAAGATCGATTCGCATCGCAGTTTTACGGCTTATGTAAGTCGTATGGTCGTTTGAATCGCTTGCTCTTGAGGGAGTTACAAGTATAACATGTCTTTAACATTTTTCCCCTAGAATTTTGTGCGATTTGAAGATCAAGGCTTTCCTAGTATAAGAGAACTACTAGATTACCATGTGAAAAACAGAGTCCATGTCACGAAGAAATCCAGGGCAGTATTAGTAACCGCTGTGGGCAAACCCGCTAAAGACAAATGGGAAATGAATCGGGATGACATAGTTCTTCAGGGCAAGAAACTCGGCTCGGGTCACTTTGGTGATGTGACGAAGGGTTTTTATAAGCCAGCAAGCGTACCCGTGGCCGTCAAATCGTGTAGAGAAAGTGTCTCGGCGATAGTGAAGCAGAAGTTTCTGGCAGAAGCAGATATTTTGAAACAGTACGATCATCCAAACATTGTGAGGTTGATCGGAGTGTGTGCTGACAGAGAGCCAGTCTTAATCGGTGAGTGTTATTTGTTTTTTTTTTTTTCACGCAAATCTTCCAGGAGCTGACGTTGAGCGTGAAAAGTATTTTCTGGTTTTGATATTTGTAGATTTTCGGGAAGTCCAGAATTCCGAAATCACTACCTCGAGCCAAAAGAGAAAGCGCCGCGCGCGAATCAAGTATCAATTCGTTCTCGTGTTGAACTCACTGTAGCTCTGCTCTGTAGAAACTCAAATTGAAAATCTGAAAACATTACGTTTCTTACCTTGTCCGCGCGTCGTCGCTTAGACAGAAATTACCAAAGGTGGTGAACAGCACATATTTCTGTCAACTCGAAACGCCAACATTTTTCTTTGCAAAACATAAGAATTCACCAATTGACAAAGTGAACAGTGAAACAAGCCGAAAATTCGAAGGCAAGGTGTTGAGGGAGAAAGCTTATTGTTATCCGAAATGTGTAGTGCAGCTCAAGCAGTTTTGTGTATAAATGGCGAAATGGTAAAAGGGTAATTGTGCCTTTATCAACTGCTACAGTTGATCTAAAACTATAAGGGTTTCACTTTTCCCCTTACACGGCACGACAATTTCTTTAAGGTAATGAAAATGATAATATATTTCCGTCTACTTAGTTATGGAGTTCATGGCCGGCGGTGACTTCCTTTCTTATTTGCGCAAAAATGGCTCAAAGCTGGACACAAAGAAGCTGCTAAAGTTCAGTGTTGATGCTGCAGCTGGGATGGAATACTTGGAGAGCAAAAATTGTATTCACAGAGATTTGGCGGCGAGAAACTGCTTGATCGGCACAAAAGATTTACTCAAAATATCCGATTTTGGAATGTCACGTGAAGTTGAAGAAGGTAAGCTTTTGAAGTGCTTGTGTCTTATTTCTGATATCCATAGGTCAGTTGTAGCTACTAATGTTTGTTGTTAACAACCCGATGAAATCCTAACCCAAATTCTGGACAAGGTTTCCTGGAGACGACATTTTGTAAGTAAAACAAATTAGTCTTCCTCACGTTCCCTTAACAGTGTATGAAGCCTCGAATATGAAAGAGATCCCCGTGAAGTGGACAGCTCCGGAGGCTCTGAATTACTTCCAGTACACAACATTAAGTGATATATGGAGCTTTGGTATTTTTCTTTGGGAGACGTTCTCATATGGAAATGTGCCTTACCCCGGAATGAATAACAGGGTGAGAAAACGAAGAGTTAGAAAATTATTTTACTATAAACGGACATTACTTATTTCTCTTAGCTCATAGTTTTTTTTCTCGAGCTTGCTCCTACAAAACTTTTCGCATCACGGAACAGGTAACGTTAGCGAACTAATGTCTAAGCACCTATTCGCGCCAAAAGGAGGTTATTGTGCATGTGTTTTCCCTCAGAATTAACTTTTTCCAAGAATTGTACTCCTGTTGATTCTTGCGATCAAGCTCTCATTAGCACTGCTAAACAAGATGATCTCGCGGGCTTTACGCGAAGTCAACGCGTGTTGATCCGCCCCGCTTTGCTCCTGGCGTAAGCATTAGGCCTGCAAGGGGGTGTCACGTACACGCCATACAGATCGCAGTCATCCCGTGGACCTCGCGAGAAGCCAAAACGCGCATTATGGGCGGCCGTCACCACCAAAAATACAAGGATGTCAAATAGATCAGTAAATACAAAGATGGTGTAAGGATCAGCTGCAGGATAGCATAGCTAATAAAGGAAAGGCATGGCCAAATTATAGACAGTCTAGGTTTCCTTCCTGAAACAGAACACCCTAAACATAAGTAGTTTAGCCAAATGATAAACAGTCTAGTTGCCCATGTCGAGTTGGAACATGAAATTGTGAAATGGACCAGCTAAATTGCAAATAGTCTAGCACTCATATGCAATACAGTACACAAACGGTGTAGCTTTGTGTCAAATGACTCAAGATAATATGGAGTAGCACAGCGTACGCACAAACGGTGTAGCTTTGGGTAAAATGGCTCAGCATTATGTCGAATGGTGCATCGTACATGCAAACAGTGTAGCCTTGCGTGAAAAGGCTCAGCGTAATGTGGAATGGTACGGCGTGCACACAAATGGTGTAGCGTTGTGCGAAATGGCTCAGCGTAATGTCAAATGGTACGGCATAATGTCAAATGGTACAGCGTACATACAAACAGCGTAGCGTTGCGTGAAATAGCTCAGCGTAATGTGGAATGGTACGGCGTACACACAAACAGTTTAGTGACGTAACGCTACGCCAAATTCGTGTGTACGCTGTGCCATGCGACATCACGCTGAGCCATTTCACGCAACGCTACACTGTTTGTATGTACGCTGTGCCATTCTACATTACGCTGTTCCATTTGCGGTTTGTATTTTTGGTGGTTTCGGCGAGATAGCGATCTGCTGGGGGGCATGACGTCATCGAGTGTGAAGAATTGCGCGAAACCATCACATTGTGTGGTCGCTGTGTTAAAGAGCCTTCACTTCGCCTTGCCGTAAAGCAGAGCCAATTCGGTAAATTTCTCCAACGAAAACTCATTGAAAAGAACAAAGTTAATGTTGCCAAATACTTTGCAAACAAAAGCACATGCTTGAGTTTTCGTTGCGTTGCGAAGGTGGGAAGTAGTAACCTTAAGCCGATTTTATTTTTCGTGAATTGTAGAAGGACAGTTTCCCTTCCCTTTACCACCCTGTTTTATGTCTGTGCGTTTTTTTACTTATTTTATGGCAGACGTGTCTCATCAAGAAAGGCATGTATGTGCTCAAAACCAACTCGGAAAAAAGGTTGCTTTGGCAAAAACTACATGTTTGATTGACAAATGTAAAAACAGATCAAGGCTCTCAGTTTTCTTACCATGGCGTCCAGGGCACACACAGAATCCAACTTCTAACGTACTTCTGCGATGTTCAAAGAGCCTGATCGAGAAAATAAAAATAGAAATTATTTCTACTATCACCGCACCCAGGAAAAAATAAATAAAAAAAGTAATATAATATACACCTCTTTAAAATAATAAATGTAAGCAGTCTTCCCTTAGCTTAATACTCTAATCGTACGGAAAACCAATTAAC